CCGGTCGGCGTGATGTCACACCGCTGTAGCCGCTCTCTGACGCGTTTCGTGCGAAGGCACGTAGTCATAGGGGGTTAGCTTAGGTAAATGACTACCAGGTGCAAATAACTAAAGGAAATATTAATACTTAAGTCTAATAAATACTAATGTGTTAAATATGGTGGAAGTAAAATCAAATCGTTAACTGTCCTTAAGATAATTTCCCTCTCTCTACAGTCTACTGGCAAAAGGCCAAAAAGTCATTCACATGGTAGATGTTTCTCAGTATTCTCTCAGGTAATATGCCAGACGCTAAGTAATCTAGGCACAGAATGCTAGCAAGCCTCAGTACAAATTATGTTTTCTAACTGCCACATTTTTTCAATAACAATCCAATTCAAGTTAAAGATGGCAGCTGGAGACAATGAAGATACACCATTTTCCTTTTATATTTACATTTTTAAAATCTTCTTTGAAAGTAATTTTTTTTTTCTGAACTGAAACAAAAAAAACTGTATTAAAAAGGAAAAACATTCTAAGCAGACTTACTCATAATACTCATAAAGCAGACTCATAATCCCCTTCCTCTTTGTGACTTTCGAGCTCCCATACATGTTATTTTTTTAAAAGAGGTTGTAATATATCTAAATTGGAACATCTCTCTCTCATTGAATATTTTTAATCCTTATGCTGTTGGCATTAGTAAATAGATAGGAATGTATATTATATTTACTTGTTTTAAACTTTTTTTTTTAATTTCTTCAGTTAAATCCTCCAGGCCTAAGTAAATGATATTATACATCCCATTAGTCTTCAGGAGGCGAGGAGGGATTTTCTTAGCTAAGCACACACTCCTGACTGCATGCCTGAGCTAAGGGCAGATGGATTCCAGGAAGTAAATGCTACATGAAAAATCTGCCCTTACTCAAGATGGCCATGGTCAGAAAAGCTAGGGGGTGTTGGATGGATACATGGATACATAGATGGATGAGTTTGTTTTGAATATTAAAAATGTAAATAGCATTTTTGGTTTGCGGTGCTCAAATGCAGTGTAGTTTTGTTTTAACATTCTTGCCCATATCCATGGTCTGGACTGCATCCGATGGTGGTCACAGGACCAGGTGGCAGGTGGCATTAGGCAGATGGTCTCGGCTGATGATGCATACAGCACTGCAAATTAGGTTGAGCTGACCAATTAGTGAATCTGCTGAACCTTCTGTTTAAAAGGGATCCCATGATCAATGGTCATGTGACTGCCATTAGAGGGAGCCTGAAGCATATATGTCTGGAAGAAAGACAGTTATATCACTATGTTAGCTTTTATAATCTAAGGGAGCAGGAGGACGGAAAATGTACCATAACAGCATACATTCATTTTCACTATAGGTTCACTTGAAACTAAAGGTCCAAATACTGCCATTATGTAGATGTGTTTAGATACCATCAGACCTTCAGAGACATCCTTTGCTGATAGTTCTAAGCACAAAAGCCTTATGGACTAATGCACCTATGAGATAGAGGTCACAAAGCAGTCCATAGAGATGTGCACTTGATATTTTTAGATGCTATTCTAATAAAATTTAACAATAGTGGCACAAATTGTTTTGTTGAATGTTGGACTAATATTGGTAGCTGGATTGTTGGTGTGTTAAGTGCCACAAAGCAAAACTCACACACACAAATGGGCAAGCTCATCCTATGTAAGAGAGGGACTGCCTGTTCCCATTGCTATGATTTCAGTACAGATCTACAGAAAAAAATATTTTTTTTCTTTTTTTCTTCAAATACTAAGTTGCTTGATATCTCTCAATTTATGTTTACTAATGCACGGTAGATTACAGGCAAAAGATCCCACTGCTGACCGATAGTATGTAGAAGTGATCATCATATTAATGGCTTGTACAAGCATCCAAAGTGCCAGGCTTATCTACTGCTAACAATAACAAATGCAAGGGAAAAGCCAACCATTTCCTTCCCAGTAACTGGTTGGTGAAGGCATGTTTGCCCCATCTTCCTAATGTTCATAAAGATGCAAAATGCTGTCTGAGTACAATTAATTATTTTAATGTTACATTGTTTTATTTACATTTTTTAATTTAATATTTTATTTTGTATAATTCAACTTTTTTCTAGTATCAAACACATTTGAACATGTTTTTTCATTTTGTCATGCGATGTTTGTTGTTTCCTTCCAGAAATACAGTATATGTTGTGTGACACAATGTACTGTGTCTCAGCACCATTCAACAGTCTGTCACAGAATGTTCTTGTAGGGGTTCCAGATGAATACTAAGCAGAATTCTTAGAACTACTGAAAGTGAACTTGCCAGCAAAATGAAAATGACTGCAAAAAGGGAATATGTGCATAATTATGACAAAAAAGTATAAACATATAGCTTCCAAAATATTCTAGATTTGGTGTGTCAGATCTTTTGACACCAAATCCTCCAGATAGTCTTTTGAGTTTTAAGTCTAAGTCTAAGAGATAAATTATTTCAAATAAGAAAAGGTACATACTGCCTTCTGCAGAGGAAATTTTCACTGCCTACCATACCTTAAAACATGAGTGATTGCTCTGACCAAATCTGTACTGTGCTTAAGTAATCGATAGAGATTATTGATATCAATGGTGAAGGAATCTGGCAATACCCATTGTTGTGCGCTCTTTAATAGGTGCCTAGAATACATAGAAGGGTGACAATCAGGGGCGGACTGACCATTTGGAAACTTGGGCACTGCCCGAGGGCCTGGGGTCAGTAGGGGGCCCCATGAGATGCCTCTGGTACCTTTTTCATAGGCTTTTTTGAGTTTGGCAAGGACACAGGGGCCCCATGATCCCCTATTGCCGGGGGGCCCCATGAGTTGTCAGTCCGCCCCTGGTGACACTATATACTGGCATCGTTGGTAACAGTATGCAAATGTTGAAACACTGCTGTACAACTTGTTTTACACATACAAGTGCAAATTGTCTATCACATAAGCACCAAAGAGTATGCCATGCTGGTTCCCTCCTTCACTGCTGATCACCAGGTACTCCCTTTCATGAGATCAGAACAAAATCAGGAAGAAGATATTAGTTTACAGTGGCGTATGTCCCATGTAAGGAACAGGTACACAAGAAGTGTGCTGAAAATAGAAATAACTTTTAGTTACAAAACAGGTCTCCAGTACTTTTATGGCAATTAGAGAATATGGCCCATTGACAACATAGTAAGAATCAGCAACTTGGAAATAGAGTTTGTGCAAAATCAGAGAAACATTGATTAAACAAAAAGAGGTCTCACACTTAATTTATTACAAATATTGAAGCTATTAGAGCACAGTACGCATTATGTTTTACAAAGAAGAGTGAAATAGTATTGCAGATAATATGGAAACATAAAAACATTGGAATGACCAGCAGGACTACCATAATAACCATAAGTCAAGTGGAAGAGTTGCTTCAATCCTATCAGTGCAGAGGAGGTGTTAGCAGGCCATTAAATATTACACAAAACCATGCAAGGGCATGGATGTCCACAGGATAAAAAGGATAAACAAGACAGGCAGCATAGATAAGGCCTCATCAACACTGGAAATATTTAATGCTGCTCTTATGGGTGTCTGGCATTTCTTTTTGCCTCTAAATGTCCCTGCATGTTAGCCTATGTGTCCATGCACACATAGGGCTTTAGAGGAGTTTAGAGCCAGGGGCATTTAGAGGCAGAAAAAAAATCCACTGTTAGCACTCATTTTGGTAGAAAAAATAGTTGACGCGTGTAAATGTGTGCAAACACTTGTTAATCCTAGGTGTGTTAACTCTTAAGTGTTAATTCATCTCAATGGTCAAATTAAATTATTATTCTGCACAATGAAAATTAGTTAATGCCCAAGCACCCATTGGGCCTAAATGTGCCTAAACATGCAGCATACCTTTACAAGCATCAATTGTTTTTTATGGCAAAATGCCACTGCCAGGAGGAAAGATGTCTAGGAGAGATGGCCAAAGAGTCCAACGTGCATGATTCCTTAATGTAAACCCTAACAAGGAATTTCTCTAGTTTAATAAAATGACCATGTGATCTTTTCACTTCTAGAACAATTTTGCATCTTTTCCAAACACATTAAAATGCACATTCCAAATAATTTTAGTGCACACAAACACAATATAATACCCATTTTTTTTTTGGTAAAATATAAAAAGTGAGGTTGGGTTAAGGAAATAAATAAAAACATATTAAACCTCTAAATTGCGTGTGCATGTGAAATTGCAAAAAAGCATGGCACCCCAAATTGTTCATAGAGGATAATAGCCTTTACAACTCATCAATTTGCAGATGGCCTTGAATTGTGGTTCTCATGCCAGAGTGCAGGACAATAACTGAACATACAGTATATGGCAAGATCATACTTTTTCTACATAAGTGAACCTGATGCACACCTTTAAATATGCATGTATGTGGGGGCAAGGGAACTTTAACCACTTGCCTACAGGGCACTTATAGTCCCTTCCTGCCAGGCCAATTTCCAGCTTTCAGTGCTGTTGCACTTTGAATGACAATTGCGCGATCATGCAACACTGTACCCATATAAAAAATTTTTCATTTTTTTGTGACAGACAGAGCTTTATTTTGGTGGTATTTAATCACCTCTGGGTTTTTAATTTTTTTGCTAAACAAACCAAAAACCACTGAAAATTTTGAAAAAAAACCAAAACGTTTTTTTCTTAGTTTTTGTTATAAAATTTTGTAAATAAGTGATTTTTCTCCTTCACCGATGTACGCTAATGAGGCTGCAGTGATGGGCAATGATAGGCTGCACTGATGGACACTAATAGGTGGCACTGATGGGCACTGATGAGGGGGCACTGGTAGGTGGCACTGATGGGCATTGACAGGCATCACTGATGGGCAGTGAAAGGCAGCACTCATATATGGCACTGATAGGTGGCACTGATAGGTGGCACTGACTGGCACTGATAGGCGGCACTGACTGGCACTGTTAGGCGGCACTGACTGGCACTGTTAGGTGCCACTGACTGGCACTTTTAGGTGCCACTTATAGGCAGCACTGACTGGCACTGATAGGCGGCACTGATGCACACTGATAGGCGCCACTGACTAGCACTGATTGGCAGCACTGATAGGTGGCACTGACTGGCATTGATAGGTGGCACTGACTGGCACTGATGGGTGACACTGAAAGGCAGCTCAGATGGGCACTGATTTGTGGCATTGATGTGCACTGGTAGGCACTGATATGTGGCGTTGATGTGGCACTGATGGGCACTGGCAGGTGGCATGGATTAGCACTGAGAGCTGGCACTGATGGACACTGACAGGTGGCTCTGCTGGGGCTACACTGATCATCAGGGCACACTGATCATCAGTGCTCTGATGATCAGTGTACATGTCCCCTCCGAGGAATGCCGATTACCGGCTCTCCTCTCCTCATGACAGCTTGTGGGGAGAGAAATGCCGCTAACCGGCATTTCCCTGTTTACATGTGATCAGCTGTTATTGGACACAGCTGATCACATGACTGAGCCGACATCTTCGGCTCTTTCCGTGGATTGGTGGTCCGGGACACAGCGCACCGCCGATCGCTGCACGCTTCAGGAGCCGTGCATGAGCGGTTAGAATGGGAGGACGTCACATGACGTCCTCCCAGAACGAGAGTACCACCTTGCGTCTGTCATATTACTATATGGCGGCCGGGAGATGGTTAAACATTTTTGAGGGGTGTTTTTCCAATGATTTAATTAAGTGTTAAACTTTTTCTTACTTAACTTTATTGCTATTACGTATGGGCTGGCAGGTCCTCTATATGATAACATAGTGCAGGTGTCAGGTTTTCTTTAATTCCTTGACCCCTGGAACGCTGTACCCCCTTCATGACCAGAGCATTTATTGCTATTCAGCACTGCACTACTTTAACTGTCCATTGTACCCAAATTAAATGTATATCATTTTTTCACACAAATAGAGTTTTCTTTTGGTGGTATTTGATCAACACTGGTTTTTGTTATTATATAAATGAAAAAAATAGAAAAAATCCCAATAAGTGTATATTAATTGTTTTGTGCGAAAGTTATAGCGTCTAAAACTATGGTATACATACTGGAATCTAGACAGCTATGATGCTATACTGGTAATGGCAGTGAGCAGCGATTTATAGCAGGACTGTGATAGTATGGCTGGCAATTTGGCACTAGCTGATGCTGACTGGGAGGTACAATAACTAACTGACACTGACATCAATAGTGACACTAATACAGTGATCAGGACTAATGCTGTACACTGTCTCTGTACTAATGAAACTTGTTGGGAAGAGGTTAGCATCTAGGGGCAATCAGGGGGTTAATTGTGTGCTTAATAATGTGTAATGTCTGTAATATGTGCTGCTTTTACTACTTTACTATATGGCCAGATCGCCAGATGTGTTTTGTAATCACAGAACTCTGTGTGTGATTGGTGACAGCCAATCAGATGATTTCAGACTAAATCATTGGCTGAAATCAGTTGCCAAACTCATGCTCTGTCCAATCACAGCACAGGTTGGTAGGGGGCATGCACACCCCAAACCTGGAAGAAGGCCAATCACGTACATGTACATGATCATGTCTGCAACTGTTGCCTGCTCTCAGTATATTTATTGTGAGCAGTTGGTAGGTGCTTAAAGTGTTACTAAACACACAACAGTAAAATCAGTCTGTATATTCAGCAAAGCATGCTTATTATAGACACTGTGGAACCTAAGGGGTTAATCCTCTGCACTGTGTAAAAACGCTGTTTGGTCCTGTTTTCTCTGCCCCTTCTCTTGTTAAGATGTCCACCTGATAAGACAGACTGAACCCGTTGCCACATGCACATGCTCAGTTTATTGTGTATTGCTAGAGAGGTTTTTTTTTCTTGTGAGAGTGCATGTGGTCAGCACAAGGCCAATCAGCACTGTCCAGACAGAGGATAAGGGGTTTTGCATCCTCCTAGAGCAGAAAGAAAACACCTTCTACAAGCTTTAACCAGTGCTCTGCTGAACACTGCTAGAAGTCACAAGACTGCTCTAACTGCTGATGAGAAAAGGTATTTAGCAGTTTATATTTACTAAAATAATTGCATTTCTATGTCTTGTGTACTGTGGGAGACCAGATATAGTGAATGCAAGGTCCTGGTTTAGTAACACTTTAAGGAAACATCAGGGATCTATTAGACACCTAGGGGTTTATTTACTAAAGCTGGAGAGTCCAAAATCAGACTCACTTCTGCATAGAAACCAATCAGCTTCCAGGTTTCATTGCCAAAGCTTCATTGAACAAGCTGAGGTTAGAAGCTGATTGGTTTCTAAGCAGAAGGGAGTCTGATTTTGGACTCTCCAGCTTTAGTAAATAAACCCCCTAATGTCACCTTGTGTACTCCACTGGAGCAAATAGTGGCTGGAGAATGACAGTGTAGAAACTGGAAGTGACAATAAGCATGTTGCTACGGGGTTCATTCTATCTAGGAGAGACCAGTGAACAAATGTCCGCTGGGCTCCCTTACTCTCTCCACTGACACCCACCTGGGATTTTTGTCTCTGTATTATACAAACATAACAAATGTAAAGTGCAATGGGTGTACTAATCCTGGTATACCCAATCTTATAATCTAATTGAATTCTACTACTATAACTAAATAAACCCCAAAGCTTTTTTTCTCAAAATAGGCCTGACCTTTTGTACTGCGTTTGCTTTTGTTATTGTTAATTGCAATGTATTATGGTTTTGTATGTATTTTATTTTTTTTGGTCATGACAAAAAATATAAAAGGTAAAAAATATTTTTTCTTTTTTAGTCAGGTAATTGTGAAATCTTGTTTGTAAATATTATGTGGTCTTTTATTCAGGCTTCATCTATCACACGTGGAGAAAAGCATGTTTATAAAAATAGATGGATGAAGGTGAAAGTTACATACAGAACTGAATGAGACAGAGAAATGGCAAATTCTTTATCAAAGGGCTAACTTCACAGATTTAATGAGGACAGTGATGTCTGATGTGTTGTCCCTTTAGCTAGTTTATAGTGCTTGGTGCATCCTTCATCAAATATTAAAGGGTTTATTTGTAAAATACACATTTTATACATATACTGGAGAAAAAGAAAAAGAGAAACGAAAAGATATACATATAAACTTTAAAACATAAATAATAATGAAATTGACCAAAGCCATTATAGATTCCCATTAACCATATTGATGTTAATGAACATGGGTTCACTTTACGAAGGGTGTATATTACATGATTAATAAGCCACCACCAGTGATCACAGCACACCATTGAAAAAAGTGCTTCTTCAATTGCTTTAGTAAGCAAGACAGGAGGACTGGAGGTTGGACAGATGACTGAAATGTCCATCTCCTCTATTCAAAGAGGGCTTTTCATTAAAGGGAAGCTATGGTCAGAGGCGTCCCTAGGGTTGGTGTCACCCGGTGCGGTAACACTTGGTGACACCCCCTCCGATGATCCCCGCAGAATGGATCGGATCTGCGGATTGAGCATAATGGATTGGACTCCGATCCATTATGCTCAATTCGCAGATCTGATCCATCCTGCGGGGATTGTCGGCTTTCTTTACAACTTACCTTTTTGTGGAGCGGGTCCGGTGTCACCCCGTTTAGGTTGCATGGCGACGATCCCCGCAGGATCGTTGGCATGCAACCTATATAGGGTGACACCAGACCCGCTCCAAGAAAAGGTAAGTTGTAAAGAAAGCCGATGATCCCCAAAGGATGGATAGGGTCCATCCTGGGGGGATCGCCGGCTTGCTTTACAACTTACCTTTTTGTGGTGCGGGTCCGGTGTCACTCCGTGCGGTCGGTGTCACCCGGTGCGGATCGCACTCCCCGCACCTGCCTCGGGACGGCAATGGCTATGGTACAGCTTTTATGAATGAAGGGGGCAAAAAGAATGGAGACATCATTCGTGGTGAGTGGCAATGACAGGTCTAGCAGCTCTTTACCTCTATTAACACAGTTTAAACAGAATTTCTGAGTATTTACAAGTATGTTTAAGCTTTTCTACACAATATAATTTCCTCACTTTGTAGCACGGAAACTACTTAAAAGTCTGCCTGTATTCTGTGCCTCTTACAGGAGCACTTACAGTATGACTGTAGCTTAGAAATGTGACTACCGTCAACTTGGACCGGAGCTCTCCCACTGACAACTACTCTCTACTTAGTGAGGCTTCTATTGGGAAAGTCTACTGATACTAATTGTCATTTCTAAATCAATTCCCATCCAATGGATTGGTCAGTTTAAATACTTTCTTAAAATGTTTTTAATACCAGAAAATAATAGAAACTAAATTGGGTATCCTGTAAATTCTGCAAATTCCCTAGCTCTAACTGCATTATAATGCACCCAGACCATGTTAAACCCTAATGTGTTTCTGGGTTCCCCAGCAATCTGGTAAAAAGAAACATTGGAAAGCTTTTCTAAAAGTGTCACCAACAGAATCTTTACCAAGAGAAATACAATTTACACAGAATATCTGACCTTTTATATTGATTACAAGCTACACTATATTGCCTAAAGTATTGGGACCCCCTCCAAATCATTGGATTCAGGTGTTCCAATCACCTCCATTGCTACAGGTGTATAAAATTATGCACCTAGGCATGCAGACTGCTTCTACAAACATTTTTGAAAGAACGAGTCGCGCTCAGGAGCACAGTGAATTCAGCGTGGTACTGTGATAGGTTGTCACCTGTGCAATAAGTCCATCTGTGAAATTTCCTTGCTACTAAATATTCCACGGTCAACTGTTATTGGTATTATAACAAAGTGGAAGCATCTAGGAACAACAGCAACTCAGCCATGAAATGGTAGGCCATGTAAAATGACAAAGCAGTGTCAGCACATACTGAAGCGCACAGTGTGCAGAAGTCACCAATTGTTTGCAGAGTCAATAGGTAAAGACCTCCAAACTCAGTGTGGCCATCAGATTAGCACAACAACAGTGTGTAGAGAGCTGCATGGAATAGGTTTCCATGACTGAGCAGCTGCATCCAAGCCTTACATCACCAAGTGTAATGCAAAGCGTAGGATGCAGTGGTGTAAAGCACGCTGCCATTGGACTCTAGAGCAGTGGGGACGTACTCCCTGGAATGACTATCACACTTTTCTGTCTAGCAATCTGATGGACGTGTCTGGGTTTGGTGGTTGCCAGGAGAATGGTACTTGCCTGACTGCATTGTACCAAGTGTAAAGTTTTGTTAAGGGGGGATTTATGGTGTGGGGTTGGTTTGCAGGGGTTGGGCTTGGCCCCTTAGTTCCAGTGAAGAAAACTCTTAAGGCGTCAGCATACCAACACATTTTGGACAATTTCATGCTCCCAACTTTTTTGGGAACAGTTTGAGGATGGCCCCTTAATGTTCCAATACAGTGCACAAAGAAAGGTCCATAAAGACATGGATGAGCGAGTTTGGGGTGGAGGAACATGACTGGCCAGCACAGAGTCCTGACCTCAACCCGAAAGAACACTGTTTGGATGATTTAGATCGGAGACTGTGAACCAGGCCTTCTCGTT